AGAGACCGGTGCCTGTAGTTGAAAAAAAAGGAAGATGGCAAATGTTAGAAACTGAAAGATGCGGCATGCGTGCAGGTCAGATGAGAAGGAGAAGGGGAACAAAAAATGACAAGACGCACAGTTTTGATACACTTTGGGATTCCAAGCCACAAAGCGGGCATGGCTGAGACCAAAGTTCGTCTCGATGATTTCGCACGGTTTTTTGATCCAATTGGTCGTGTTGGGCATGACGAATTTGTTGCAGTTGGAAATGATACCTGGCTGGCGGTATCTCCAGACGGCCACGCAGTATTCAGTTCCTGTATCGTGACGAAAAAATCAACAAGGTTAGCACACACACTGCACGACCACCCACAAGAACGGACCAAAGATACACTTACCTGCTGTGTAGTTTCCGCAGTCGGGTCCCACACTAGGATTCCACGCCACAAACTCGGCCATATCAATTCCCTGAGTTCCGGAAAACTGACTGCACGTGTACCCCGGCGTCGCGAGTTCCTTGCAAATGCAATACTTGGTAGCTTGTTCTTCTTCCTGCAGATAGTGTTGCACGCAGTAGCGGTAGTCTGTGGTGACTTCACACGAGGCTTCGCTGGTGCCTTCTAGTGTGGGATTCCACTCGATAAGATCGCTGACACTCACGCCATATGCACGCGCAATATCGGAACATCGGGTTGACGTGTTTCGGGTAATGGAATTGAGCAGGAGTGGCGGGTTGAGATAGTGGGCGCAATCCATCAAGGTGCCGTTAGCAATGGGCATCATGCTAGGCCGAGCCGTGGTCGAGTTGCTGGTCATGGTGGCTGTGGCGGTCTCGGCAGGTAAATCCGCGGTGCCGAACGGGGTCCAGTTTCTGGTGTCTATTTCTGTGCTGTTGCAGCGTGTATGGTTAGATGGTGCGGTGAACCCAAAAAGAAAAGAGAAATAGAAAAAAAGAAAGGAATTCAGAAACCCAAGTGGCAGGCCCGGGGAAAGAATACTTACATGGTAGCGCTTGCACTCTCAGTAGGTTCAGGATTGAGATCAACCCATCCACCTCCGGGGTTGACTTGCAGATAACATGGCTCACATAGTCTTGGAGGTTGTCACAGTTGACTCCCAGTTCAGGATTCCATGATACCAGTCTGTTCCAGGTTGTATCAACGGAATCGGCAATGCTCACGCAAGTATCATCCTCCTTTACAGTATATGGCGTGCATTGTCGGTTATTGTGGCCGCCTCCGTTGCAGCGGAGGGTCCTTTAACGCGGCGAGACTTGATGGGAACGATGGGATTTCAAATCTTCGACAACTTTCTCGCTGATCGCGGCATAGCACTGGCAACCCTCATCAACAAGGACGTGGAACAAGTCACGGTTGTTAACAACGAGTTGAATTAGCGTAGGCTCTATCTCCAACTGCGATTTTGACTTGAACTCTTCCACCTTGCTCAGTACATCTGTTTGCTCCGTGGCCCGACGTCGCACCGGAGCTATTCTTTTCCCTGCTCGGAAGCGGAGCTCTCATCCTCCTCTTCCAAGAGCGGAGGGACCTCAATGGCGGTAGCCTGGGTGCGGACATTGTGGGAGGAGGGAACCGCGGGCGGGTATGGGCAAGAGCCTACATGGCCAGAGGCACCGCATCGAAGGCAAAGGTTATTGTCTCGACTTTTCTGCCGTTCTTTTTCCGAGACCCACTTGGCGCGCTTAGAGGAATAGGTGGCCGGGTTTAAACCGCCTCGCCTTCGACTGCCACGACCTCTTCCAACGCGAGTCGACCCCATAATGGTGTCACCATCAGCATCTACCGGGGCCGATATGGAAGAAGAGGTTGACTGAGGCTAGGATTGCGGCTCCTGAGTGTTACCAACGCTCAATGCTGGAAGGTAATAATTATTCGAGGAGCGGCTCCGATTCCTCTGGCCGCGGAGGTACTTGTGGTGATCCTCCTTGAACTCACTAGCCTGCTCATACTTCGCCGCATGGTACTGTAACTGGGCTACACAGGTGCGGTAGTCATCCGAGAGCGAGACTGTGAAGAGCTTGTCGAGAACGGAGTCGCGCGTCTGGTAGGCACCGAAAATGATGCGAATCTGATCGAGAAGGGCCACCGGGTCGTCGTCACCGCTAGCGGTTTTGGCGGTCCAAAAGCCTTTTAACTGCTGCTTTTTGTCGAGCGGAAAGGTGTCAAGAATCTCAATCCATGCCGCTTCTCGGTCGGTGCGTACTCCTGCCTTGATGTCGGCATTGTATGTTTTGATAAGTTTGTTATAGTAGAATTGAAAGGTATGAGGTTGTCCATCCCATATGGGAAGTGTAAGTGGCTTTCGTCTGTATGAGGTGTCTTGGCCTGAATCAGCAGAGGCACCTGTAGCGGCCGAGGCCGCATTTCCGCTGGGAGCTCCGATTGTGGGAGCTTGGGCTGCGGGACTGAAGTCCAGTCGCGGGGCAAGGACAGGGGGTGGATTGGAGTTAAAGAGAAGGGACTTAACACGATCGCGGAGTGATGCGCCTTCAAGAGCCCTTTCACAAGGCCGTCGCTGGGGGTACTGCTGTCTCCTTCTGGTTGTTCGCCGCCACCTTGGGAATCGTGGAACTCCTCGAATTCGTCGAGGTCCATTTTGGTAAGTCCGACCATACTGACTAAAAATGCCGCAACGCCGCGCTCTAAGCTGCTGGCTCCGTCTCCGAATGAGGTGAAGTCCGTCTTGTCCGTTACTGCTCTCTCAGAATGCCGCAATGCCGCGCTTTAAGCTGCTGGCTCCGTCTCTGAATGAAGTGAAATCCGTCTTGTCCACTACTGCTCTCTCTCTGATAGGCGGTAGAACCTAATGTAAGGGGTACAGCATAGTTGACACAGATGCTGGCGAAAAGAATCGATAAGGTTCTACGAAGAGAGAAGGGGAGAAAAGGACGCCCTTTGGGCAGTCTGGCTGGCTGTCTTAAAGAGTGTTGCCTGCCGCGAGAGTGGAGCACTCGCCTGGCAAGATTGCCAGGCATTTCAGCCACGGGCACTAGCCCCATGACATGGACAGAGAAGGTATGAAAATATGTGACCTGAAGAGAGGCAAGCGAGGTGCAAGCATTAATATCCAGATTGCATTGAAATCAGATTCTGATTTCGAAGATCTTCCATGTCCGTTTCACAAGTCGTTCTTATTATTATTGTATTCTAACGCTCACAGTGTTGTTTTCGTGCACATGTCTTTTCTGCATGGCTCTCACAAGTGCACTTCTTGCTTATCATCACCCACACAACTTGCTCCTTAAAAGGAAAAAGAATGAATGAAGCCTACGGAATACCATGTCAGATGAAAACAAAGACAGAAAACAAAGACAGAAAACAACGAGAGAACGTAAAAAA